GAAGATGGGTTCATTTGGGCAGTCAATGCAGCTTTGAGGTAGCGATGGAAACGCTCAACCAAACCGTTAGAACAGGGGTGATACACGGTAGTCGATATGTGATGGAAGCCGAATAGTGTAGAAAACTCCCGGAAGAGATTACACTGAAATTGTGAACCGCGATCCGTAGAAACGGTGCTGCAAAAATGAAAAAGCAACCGTGTCAGCTGAAGTATCCGAAATGGGTACAGCTCCTGGCCAACGGGTAAAACGATCTATCCTGGTAAGGATATGAGTGAAACCGTTTGATGGGGAAAGAGGAACAACAATGTCGAGGTGGACGTGTGTCAATCGAGCATCAGGAACGGCAAATGAACCGATAGGTGAGTTCGTAGGACGAGTTACTTTACTGCGTTGACAGACGATGCACTATTTGGCCCAGGATGTCAGGTCCTTATTCATGGAGGGCTATACAAAGCGTGCACTAGCCAACTTCCTGTTTGCTCTGATTCCTGGATGAGAAAATCCATGAAAGTGGTCGAAAACAACCCGTCGAAAGACTTCGGGGACGATTGGGCGAGCTGAGCCTGTAGACATATTACAAAAACTGGTTCCGGATCGGAGGGGTAAGGGAATTGAAGAGACTTGAAATGATGGAAAGGATAGAATGGGCAAAAAATTACGATCACCATTTCGAAGGTTAGCCAGCTTGGCTAAGTCCAGCTGCGTGGAAGGGTGAAGAGCGTTGATGTCAGGACGGGATAGGGCATCTGCGACGACATTGTCCGAACCTGGAGTGTACCGAATATCGGTAGTGAACTGTGAAATATAGTCAAGATGGCGTATCTCGCGTGGTGAATATCAATCAGGCTCGACGTTGAAGGCATAGGTGAGTGGCTTATGGTCGGTTTGAATGATAAACGATGTACCCTCTAACAAGTGCCGGAAATGGCGAATAGCAAGGTAAATTGCGAGTAATTCACGACCAAAAGTACTGTAACGCGTTTGGGCAGCCTGCATCTTCTGCGAGAAAAACGCTAGTGGTTGAGGTGTGTTGTAAACAAATTGATGAGACACGGCACCGATGGCAGCGTTCGAAGCATCAGTTGTCAAAATCAGCTTTGTGC